AGGAATATTGTTTTTATAATAATACATACTATATAGGCATTGTTTACATGTATGATTATCTTCTTGTAAATTATGTAAAATCTATTAATAAAATCTATGAATGAAATGAATATTTACCATTCATAATCCAACTCTTTATATTTCAATATACATAAACATTTCTCGATGAATGTAGCAATCTATGTGTACAAAGTTCAGTCGCGAGAAACGTGGAAATCCGATATCGCTTTTCCACTCAGGAGTTCCAAATATTAACCCTTTGCACTTGTATCCAACCCTCTGTCAATATAATGTGTGTGTGGGGATGTATGGCTGATATATTTCATATGAAAATATCATGCATTTTGCCGAATGCGTTATGCGTAAAATTACTTTATTAAATTGACAATACACGTCGTTGCGCGATTGTAATATTCTTTCTATCATATTACATTACACAATATGTGCGTATTTATATATGGAGTATTTAGAATAGCTGCTAAAATGTAAGGTTAATAAATAACATTGTGTACAGGTATTTGAGTTACAAAATCAATAAATATTTAAATGATCATAAATTTATAAATTATTTTTATATTTATTATTTTTATTTAAATTTAAATAATCAGAAATCGTTTAATTCTTGAATTATTATAAGAAAATATTTTTTGCACTTAACATAATATTAATATTTATTTCAAATGTAGTTTGTATTTTTTTTTTTATTTTTTATGTAATAACTTTCATCATTAAAAATTTTGTGTTTTCAAAAGAAGAAAAGCATCAAAAATGTATTAAAAATCTAAACAATATTATTTATTTATTAAAAATGTGAAAAACACATATTATAAAATTAATTGCTATATCTGCAAAAATTAATTAATTATTTACGATCAGAAATCACTATTTGTGTCGTATGCAGTCGTCCCTCGGTAAAACCGTACAATTTGCAAGTGGAGTTCGTTCCCATTTAGGGGACTTCACGCATTGGCTGAAGTTTAAGGTCAGCCACATATATTCGGCCATTCTACCGGTCGAGTGTTCTTATCGACGGCCATTTCTTAACGATTACGTGCGTGTGTCGTGCGTGATTGTGCTCTCGCCCACCCACGTATCGAGAGCGGTGCAGAGAACGAGATTAAGAGCACGCAGGAAAAGAGAGAGAAAGCGAGAAAGAAAAGGAGAGGAACGAGAGCGATCTGTCTTCTCATCTCATTCGAGAGAGAGAAAGAGAGAGAGAGAGAGAGAGAGAGAGAGAGAGAGAGAGAGAGAGAGAGGAGAGAGAGAGAGGAGGAGGAGGAGAGAGAGAGAGG